CACAACCATGAGACACACAACGTCAAGAAACTACACAACCATGAGACACACAACGTCAGGAAACTACACAACCATGAGACACACAAACACAGAACGTCAAGAAACTACACAACCATGAGTCCCACAATGTCAAGAAACTACACAACCATGAGAGACATAAACACACAACGTCAGGAAACTACACAACCCTGAGACACACAACACACACCGTCAGGAAACTGCACAACCCTGAGACACACAAACACACACGGTATGGTTTTGACCTCTGGATGTGGGGACATTGGGTGGAGGGGCTCTGAATGTAGCAGCTGTAGGTGGAGGGCACTGGGTGGAGGGCACTGGGTGGAGGGCAACGGGTGGATAAGCTGCTTACCTGTCGACAGATGTGCTTCACCTCTGTTTGAATATTCGGATTCTGTTTGCTTGTCTCACTGATTTCTGTGGTTTTCATTGGTGGTGTAAGAAAGGGGTGTGGGTGGGGTCAAAATCACGGTATAAAGGACAGTTGTAGCCACAGTGACACCACCCACTGGTGGCGTCACGGAGCCTTCGTGGTGTTTTCAGTGTGGATGTGAGGAGCTCAGGTGTGTCACAAACAGCATGCGGACACACTCACAGGTCAAAGATGAGGTAATGATGCCCCTCCTCCGAGATGCTGTCGTGCAGACGAACTGGAAGACAAAAGAAAGCAGACATTTTATTTTCACGTTACACAACGTCAACCCACAGAGCGCACACGCAGCTGCTCGCCACGCAGCTGCTCGCCCCGCAGCTGCTCGCCACACAGCTGCTGGCCGAGGTCAGAGGTCATAGTCATTGGTTCTCCCTCTGCCACCCTTAAGCCTTCCTGCTTCCTGCTCTGCTGTGACTCTGACCATCATCTCCAAAATCAACTTCCTGTTTTATCCAATCAGACCACAAACTTGTCACCTCACTGAACTCACCGATCAGCTGACCAGGACGCTTATTTCCTCATACACTGCATCCAATCAGGGCAGAGAAGGCGCCCCCTGCTGTATGGCGCCACCGGGCCCTCTGACCACCACCAGTAGGCGGTAGGTGAAGTGTCTTGCCCAAGGACACAACGACCGAGACTGTC